TATTTTTTATTTGTGTCTGGTGGACACGTGGGTGTTAAATCTTGTACTCATACCAGTATACCTGTATACTGACCTGCTTTGTCTCTTGGCAACTCGAGTGCGTTCTGTTTGAGCGCAGCCGAACTTCTTTTGCATGATTAGTTGGGGCTACGGTGGTGACGTGGAATTACTATAGTTGTTGGAGTTGGAGTTGTCGTTTGGGCTTCTTTTGTTTTCTTGAACTTAGAGTTGATATTAGTTTATGTATTTATTATTATTTTTTTTGTTTTTATGACTTAAGTATTGGAATAATTTGGCATGGTTTGTAACTGTACATTATTTAAATTATTTTGACTATTTATTGTTACTTTAATATTGACGGTATTGGTTAGTTATGAAATTATGGTGGATGATTTGGTTGGCGTTTAGTTTTTTTGGTTTCATCCCCTAGGATTTGGATGATGGAATATTAATCGGGGTTTAGTTCTAATTTAATATTTAATTATCCAAATTTTGGGGCATGACAATAAATATGAAGGCCTTCAGTCAGCTTGTGTCCTTCTTTGGCCAACAGGTCCGCACAAGTGTTTGCTTCACGGAAAATGTGATGAATTTCCTGTACTCCGAGATGGTCGAGGAACCACCTGCAATCAAAAATTAGATTACTAAACGGATGATGTATTGAAGGCCAATTGTTGAACAGATCTTATATGGTGGTTGTATCTATCTCTGCTTCAATATTAGGCATGTTGAGGTCTCTTGCCAATTGTAACCCGTCACGAAGTCCCCACAATTCTGCTGCTACACTAGTTATATATCCAATGCTGCAGCTGAATCCACTGATCCAAGTATCATTTGAATCTCTGATGATACCCCCTGCTGAGGCAGCCCCGGGATTGCCGTGAGCTGCTTTATCAATGTTGAGTTTGAATCGGGAATGGTCGGGAGGTTTCCAATTCACAAAGGATAAAAACTTGGTCTTGGGTAGGTGAGGAAAAATTGAGATGAATTGCCAATGAACGGCATTAACAGTGATGGCGGTAGGGTTGGGAAGGGGGATGGGTTGGTATCAAAACAGAAGGCGTTGCGGTGTTTCCAGGTGGTCCAACAGGTGAGGGGGAAAATGACAGCCCAAAGACACGATCGATGGCGAACATTCGATTCATAATTAACACGGAGCCAGTGGGGAGTGTCCGAAGAGAAAGAGGGGGTGAGGGATTCGGGAATGCCTAGGAGGGTCCATAGGGCCCAAAAAGAGAGACAGTCACGCAGAGCATGGGTGATGGTTTCAGGATGGGATTGGCAGCGGGGACAAAGGTTATTTTGAGTAATCTTTCGAGTGAGGAGGAAAGATTTGGTGGCTAATCTGGGATGTGAAGCAAGCCAAAGGAAGTGTTGAATCTAAGGGGTGGTGGGCGTGTGCCAAATCCATGACCAACTACAGAAATGAGGGGTAGAAAATGGTTTGAGGGCAAGAAGGTAAGCTGATTTATTGGTAAAAATACCATCATGTGAGGATGTCCAAGTGAAAGTGTCTTCAGCATGAGCATGTCAGAGAAGTGTAGTGCTCTTAATTTTGGATTTAATAAGATTGGGAAGGATAGTGGAGAGGCAGTTAAAATTCCAGTGGTGGTCAACCCAATAATCATTAACTTTGAGGCCCAACTCTCTAAGGGTAAGGGGGCCCTGCGTATAGTTGCGGATGCTCCCTACACCTAGCCAATTATCAAACCAAAATGAAGTGTGGCTACAAGTTTTGACTAGTTTACACGAGCCCTCATTGACTAACTCTCTGTCTTTCCTGATACTGCGCCAAGTATGGGAATGTCTACTAGAGTTTTTTGTTTTGTGGAGTATTTAGCCCTTAGAATTTTGGTCCAAAGGGCTTCCTTGTTTGAGTGAAATCTCCAAATGAGTTTGGCCATGGCAACTTGGTTGGAAATGTGAGATTGGCAGATACCTAGACCTCCTAGGTTTTTAGGCTTGGTGACTTCATTCCAATTGACGGCATGTATTTTTCGATGATTGAGGGAGGAGCCCCACAAGAAGCCTCTATTGAGTTTATCAATATGGTTGGTGATCAATTTGGGAAGGGAGTGGCATTGCATTACGCAAGCTAGGATGGCCGAGGTGACGGCCTGAATGAGCGTGTTTCTACTTACGAGAGAGAGGGTCGTGGCTTTCCAGCCAGAAAGCTTTTTTTGAATTTTTTCAATGATGAATCTGAATGTGGCCTGGTTGGGTCTCTCTTGGAGGATGGGACAACCCAAATATTTGCCAATGGTTTAGGAGATAGGAAATTGGAGTATGTTAGCCTAGTGATTGCATTGGGATTGGTCAACGTTATTGGAGAAGAAATTTTTTGATTTGGTGGTACTAATTTTTTGGCCCGAAATGGCGCAGAAATCATCCAAAATGGTTTTCATCGTGATGCAGTTACTTTTGGTCGCTTCACCAAACAAAATGATGTCATTCACAAAGAAGAGGTGGGAGAGGTAAGGGCAATTTCTTACAATTTTGATAGGTTTCCAAGATTTGTCCGTTCAAGTTTGAGAAATGAAGGAAGCTAGATATTCCAAGCAAAGAATAAAAATATATCGAGAAAGAGGGCCCCCTTGACGGATGCCCCTAAATGGAGTGAAATTTTCAGTGAGATCACCGTTGAAAATGATGGCAAATTCCGTGGAGGAAATACATGAAAGAATAAGATTGATCCAATGAGTAGGGAAGTTGAATTTGAGGAGCATTTGTCTAATAAAGCTCCACTCAAGGAGATCGTAAGCTTTGTCAAGGACTAATTTGATAAGAATACTATCTTTATGACCTTTTTTGTGTTTGAAGTTATTAACCTCTTCTTAGAGGATGATGACATTGTCCGCACTCTCGTGGCCCGGGAGAAAACTAGATTGGAACGGGCTAATGAGATCATTCAAAAAAGGTCTTAATCTATTCACCAGGATTTTTGAAATGATTTTGTAGATGGTGTTGCATAGACCAATGGGACGAAAATGGGTCACCATCTCAGGTTTTTCCATTTTAGGAATCAAGCGTATAAGGGTTCTGTTGAAGGAGGGATCAAGTTTGTCGATGGAGAAAAATTCAGCAATAGAATTATAGACCGAATCTTTGATAATCTCCCAGCATTTCTGAAAAAAGATGGGGTGAAGTCCATCTGGGCCTAGGGCCTTAAGAGGTTTCAAAGTCCAGAGGGCTTGTTTAACTTCTAGCATGGAAGGAATTGCCGAGAGATGAGGGTGGTTTTCGGACTGAAAGATGGGAAGGGTTAAGTTGAGGGACAAAGACAAGAGTGCAAAGCAGAGGCTAGAGTGAAACAGGTTAGTAAAGTGATCAACAAAGATTTTCTTGATGGAAGCTAAATCAAAAGTCCAGTGATCATTCAGGTCCTTGATGGTGAGGATTTTATTGTAGCGGCGATGAGATAAGGTAGTGAGATGGAAGAATCTAGTGTTGCGGTCGCCATCAAGAGTGTAATTGACGTGGGACTTGAGGGCCCAAAAATCTTCTTCTAATTTGAGGAGGCTATGGTATTCTTGGGTGAGAGTGAGTTCTAAGTTGAAGAGCAAAGGAGATAGGTGGGATTCAAGAGCCCGTTGAGTGCCAAGAAGGCGGGCAGCAAGCTTCTTTTCCCAATAAATAGGTTGCCAAACACTTCTTTATTCCAAATTTTAATTTGGCCGATGAAAAGGTCGGCACAATACTTGAAGGAGGTCTCACGAGGTTGCCAGCAACTATCTACGACACTGAAGAAGAAAGGATTCGAGAGCCAAATTGTTTCGAAACGGAAAGGGTGGGATGTGTACGCTTTGGTGTCAAGAAGGACATAACAGTGGTTAGAGTGGAGTCGAGGGAAATGTAGAACATGGGTATTGGGAAATAGGGTGTGCTAACTACTGGTGCTCCAACATCTGTCAAGACGTTCCCGTATGAGACTACCCACGGCTCTAAGATTTGACCATGTGAATCTTGGTCTAGAAAAGCCCAAGTCGATGAAACCACAATAGTTAATGCAGTCTTGAAAATTGAGGGCTCGATAAGTGTTGATGGATCTACCGCCCGCCTTGTCTGAACTTGTTAGAATTTCATTGAAGTCTCCCATCATAAACTAGGGGGATTGGTGAGAATCCGCAAAACTTTTGAGCTTTGACCACACAATTTTTCTATTGCTATACAAGAGACTAGCATAAATAGAAGAAAAGATCCAAAGAGCGGAGTTAGGAGATACCTGGACACAAGCATGGATTTCTTGGGTAGAGATGGACAGTATTTCACAGTGATTTCAAGCTCATTCCACAACAACCAAATACCACCCGCATATCTAGCTGGTTTGACGACAAATTACTGGTGAAACCTAGGTTCTCCATAATAGATTTGCCTCTTTCTCCCCCTATCCGAGTTTTAGTGATGACTAGAATTTGGGGTTTATACATAGTGAGTAGATCAAACAGATGGCGGCGAAAGTGAAGGTTCACTGCACCCCTACAGTTCCAAAGGAGAATCTTCATTGAAGGTTTGAATAGTAGGGGTGAAAGGCGAGAGAAATCGCCTTCCAGTAAGGTTTCCTCCTCTGAGGTTAGCCACTTAGGGTTCAAGTGCAGCGGTGAGTTGGTCCAAAGAGCCGGGATTAGAGTAATCAAGTGTTCAAGGCTGGAACTTGCGAGCCTCACACAAGACTTCACGATAATGCGAAGTTTGTAGAGGTTTGGTTCCGCCACTGTCACGACCCAAACCCGCCTCTATAGGTTTAGCATCGTAACCGGCCAATAATCCTGGGATTATCGAAGGCCTCTGAGACAAATTAACATAATATTAGGGGCTAGCGGAAGCAAATAACAAATATACATCGTCCATTGAGCTGTGCAGACTTATGTAAGACAGAAAAAATTTAAACTTTTTATATACTTATATACACATCATCATATATATACATATATAAGCTGACATAAGGGACTTAGCCTTATTTACACAATACACAAGGACTTGTCTAGCTGGACAGGAAAATCAAACTTCTACTTATGCACTTAGCCATAACCACTAGTCATGACCGGAACCTCCACGGGAGGCACATAGGTTGGCTGTCAAGAACTGATTCCAGGCAGAGGCCTCTAAGCTTGGTCATGCTTCTGGTCACCTACATACATATATATAAACAATGAGCTGGGGCTCAGTGAATAATAACAAAGTAAAGGATTTAATGAATGATATCCATCACAGAGTTAGAAATCAAATTCTTATCAGAAAAAGAGTCTTACGCATATTCAGATTCCAAATCAGAAACAGATTCATATACATACTCATAATCATCTTCATATTCAGATTTCGTATATAATCATACGTGGTACATCCATTAGCATTAACAAATCCAATGACCCATAAAGGGACGGCCTTAAAGGCATTCCGATGACTCATGTGCACAGAGACATTTCTGATGACCCATGAAGGGACCTGATGACCCATAAAGGGACCTGATGACCCATGAAGGGACGCATATCATATGAAGCTAAGGATGCCATGCATAACTTTCAGAATCTTGGACGATCATTCATTCATTCAAAACATAGCGTAGCATTTCAGAAGACTAATCATTTTATGTCATAATGTTCAAAAAATATTTAACATTGAACATAACTTTACAAAGTTATTACTCACAGATAGTTGCACAAGCAGATCAGACAGATCACAATCAGGCAGGCAATAGCGCGTGACCTATACAAGCACATAACATATACACATTGAAATACAATATTACTTCCTTGATCAAACTTGACTTTTCTTGTCTTTTTCCGTCAAAATAGTCTGAAGTTCTACTACGCTTATTCTTTCTCATTTAAATAAACCGAGTTCTTATTTCACATATTCTTTCATTATTAAGTCCTTCATTTCCAAATAGATTGATCCTTTACATGGCTTCTTAAACAATTACCACTAGATCAATGATTCATTCTTTAACTAACTAATCTATGTTGATTGGTAGCTCATTAATCTTTATTGAGTCATAAATCACGTCTAGAATGCTTTAGAAAGAGATGAGAATAAAAATGTGAACTAAATGCAACTTTCCAAAATATGCTGAAAATGGGGTCTTCGTTCGAGCGCTACTTTGGTCGCTCGAGCGGACTGTAAAATTTGAAAAACTTCTGGGAGCTCGATTTTCACGCTCGAGCGAGACTTTCCTAGCTCGAGCGGACAATGTAAATTCTGAAATTTCCAGAATTGCAATTGAAGTTCAAATTTGATATTCAAAGCATCAAAACATGTATTTTTGATACACAAAAATGGAGAACCATTGTATAATTTGGTAAACACTTTCAATTAGAAATCATTCATTCAAAATCATAATCAAAATATGTTTAATTTAAATAAAATCTTAAATTACATTACATGCATGGATTAAAAATCTAATTATAAAATTAAAACTTTATCTAGCATTAGGATTAATTCTAATTTTCCATAAACTTGATGTTCATAACACATTTCCTTTTTCTCTTCAAACTATGAGATTGAATTAATCCAAATCCTTCAAAATCCACGATGTATGTATCATTAGAGTATTAAACTTGTAAAATTTATTCATGCTTGTAACAAATGGAACTTAATCTCATGCAAGATTACAAAATTAAACTCAAAATAATTGATTTCTAATTTAATTTCCATAAATTGAACATAACCCCATTTATTCATCATCTTGCTAACTTCATCTATTTATATGAAATTGAACCCAAGTTTAATAAATTTAAGAAATCATAATTGATACTCTTGGCCCTAACTTGATTTTACATGCAAACTCAAATTTAATCTCATAAGTCTTTTTACACATGAATTAAATCTAAAACTTTGAAATCCTAACAGGCATGCAAGGATGAACCTCAAATTTATGAAGAATAATAAAAATCAAACTCAAACTAATTAATTTTCAAATTTATTTCCATAATCCTACACTTAACTTGATTTTCTTCATCTTCTTCTTTTTTCCAGCTTTTAAGTGATTAATCTAAAAGATTTGAACTTAAATTCCATACCTACTAGAGTTCTTGAGTGGTGAATTTCCTTTGAATTTCCCATTTCCTTTCTTTAAACCCATGCTTCCTTGAGCTTCATCTTTCTCTCCTTGACATAGAGCAACTCCCCATTTTAGTTTATTTTCCAGCAACTACGTGCCTAGAACACTCTCTCCCTCTCTCACACGGGTTTCCAGCAGAACACCCAAATAAGCCTTCATTCAAATATTTCAACATATACGCACACACAAGCACACCTCTCTTGTTGACACGTATTGCACACGTGCACCTTAGGTCAAGCTTCCAGCACATCACTTATACATATGCACACAATCAGATTTCTCAATACCCCCACACAAGTTTCTCTGCACACCCACACACAATTCTAATTTGTTGCATAATTTAATTGATGTCAAGGATTAATTCAATTAAGCATCACTTAATCTTAATAAATCTTGATCAACACATAATCAAATTAATTATAACAAATCATAATTCCTACATAATTTAATTAGTCTAACTTGACTTCCATTAAGACCCAATTAATTATATTTAATTTTATCAATCCGAATAAGATTTTTAGTCAGACTCCCAAAATGCTCCAAATATTAAATTAAATTTATTATCATTATCAATTTTGATTTCCTAAATCATTTAGGCCTTCAATTTCTGATCAGACTCAAATTTTCATCAATAAATTATATATTCAAATTGGACACATCATAATTAAATTTAATTTATAATAACCACAATTCTCAATCCTCAGGACTTAATCAACTCCAATTAGGACCTAATTAACCGAATCTCAATTTCACTAAGCTAAATCGAATATCTAATTAAACTCCCAAATGGGCCCATAATTAAAATTAGATTGATTCAACTTTTTAACTTCACTTCCTTAAGCCATTTGGACCTTTAATTTCTAATTCCAAAATAACTCTTTAATAGAATCATATACGAGTCAGATCCCACAATCCTCATAAATTCCAAATTAAATTATAATACTCGGCAATTAAATTTCAAATCCTCGTAATTAATCAAGTACTAATCATTATACGTAATGGGGTCGTTACACTACCAGGGACCTAGAGCGCATTCAAATGCCACACAACGACGCCCTAGTAGTTACTCTTCGCGTCAAAGAGTTTGATGTCAAGCGCATCTTAATTGACTAGGGAAGTTCGGTTGAGATTATGTACTACGATGCGTTCAAGCAACTCAAACTCCGTTATACAGACTTGGCTCTAGCGACTCCGCCACTAATAGGTTTCAACTCGCAACCAGAATGGCCTTTGGGAAAAATAATTTTACCAGTCAAAGCCGGAACCGTGGTCAAGCAAGTGGAGTTCTGGGTACTGCAGGTGCCGTCTACGTACAATCTGATCCTCGGCAAGGGATGGCTTCACGCCATGCAAGCTGTAGCGTCGACTTACCACTAGGTTATGAGATTTCCCTCGGCTATGGGGGAAATTGAGGAAATTTGGGGCGATCAAGTCATGTAGAAGCAATGCTTCGTGGCAGTGAACGGGAGCCGGGCTGCCAAAGGCTTCGTCCAAATGATCGAAGGACCGGAAGACCAGAGTGTCCTTGATGATATGGGCACCAGGGCCGAGGAAAAGGCTGTTGAAGAGTTGGTGGAGGTGCGAATCGACACAGAAAGACCTGACAAGTTCTTTTTGCTGGGATCCATCTTGACCGCCCAAGAAAGAACCGAGATGGTGGAGTTCTTGGTGGCGAATATCAAAATCTTTGCATGGACGCCATACGATATGCCTGGCATAGATGTAAGCTTTATTTGCCACCAACTCAATGTTTTCCCGAATGTGCGTCCTGTCATTCAAAGGACGAGGAGATCCGCCCTTCACCACACCGAGGTCGTTGCAGAGGAGATCTAGAACCTACTTGAAGCTAGGGCAATCTAGGAAGTGCACTACCCGCGATGGGTTTCGAACATGGTCGTAGTACCCAAGAAGAATGGGAAGTAGCGAGTTTGCGTTGATTACAAGACGGTCAACCGAGTTTGCCCTAAAGACAGTTTTTCTCTGCCTAGAATAGACCAGCTAGTGGATCTTACAGCCGGACATAACCGGCTCAGTTTCCTACCTTCGTTTTAG